CCCCAAAACCCCAAAACCCCAAAACCCCAAAACCCCGGCCCTCGGAAGTAATATTGAATAAAAAGAATAAAGATGAAAGACCATCAGACCCTAAATATTGCTCCTTATTGAGAAACAGGTATGCCTCTACACTTATATTAGCGTTGAGAGAAATGATCTGACTCTTCCTGTAGGACATCATAAAAGAAGGACAATGAAAAGCGATCCTAAAGGTTTTAAAGCAAGATCAATGATAACATCATCGCTAACCAAAGGAATCTCATTCTGCGATAGATTTCGAAGAACTGGAACTCTCTTCGATACGAATAAAGCAAAGTCTATAGAAGAGGAGGAATCTGAATCAAGTCTTGAACGGAAAATCAGATATTTTTACTCACCCTATAATAAGCTGGGGAACTACAAACCTTATATGAAGTTTGAGTTTGAAGAGCTAGATGATGGCCACATTCAGAATATTCCAGTAAACCCCAAGAGAAAGTCGACTTGGAATAAGTTATCAAATATCATTATGGAAGACTCGAAGACTCTGAAGAAGTTTATCAAGAATATATCCCAGAGAGACATCCCTAGCCTTGCATCCTTCAGTCCGAGTGTTAAGAGTAAGGTTAAAGAAAAGAAGAGCAGGGCTTCGCTAACTCCTTACAAGGAGGTCCCAATTGTGAAGAAATTGAGAGTCTCAAGGTTCAGGAAACCTAATGTTTTCAGGAAGAGAAAAATCACTATGAAGCAACCCAAGACAAGATTCCTTGTCCCTGAGAAGAAAGAAGTGTTTGAATCAACTGCTTCTTCGGAAAATACAATTGCTGTACGTCCATTCTCGCCTATAATAAGGAGAAAGAAATTATTAGAGGATATTGATGAGATTAAAATTGTTAAGGAGTCTTGTGAGAACCCTCTAAATCTCCTTTCATGCCGCCCAGGAATGGTTTTGCCTAATTCTTCAGCTTCACCTATTGGATCACCGATTAAGAACAGTTTCAAAAAGTCCCTATCCAGCAAGAAGAAGCAGTTAAAAACAGCTTATAGTCCCACTTTATTCACCCGAGTCAGAAGGAGGGTCAAATTCCATTCAACCAAGTTACAGGCTTTCATAAACGCAAAAACACTTTCACCTCAAAACAACACCTAAGGCAATTAACCAATCAACTAAGCTAACAAAAATCCCAAATTCCAGCCAAACCCCTACCTTATTTCAATAACCAAACCAGACAATCCTATTCCTCACCTAAATTACATAATTTCCTAATAACTTCTACAAAGTCTATTCAGCCCATTAAATTCATGCCAAAATCCCTGTACAACCCAAAATTCTTTGGATGTACCATTCAGGTGCCCAACAAGCCCCTAAGAACTAAGCATTACAGCATGCCTTCAGGTCTATAACCCTTAGACCCAAGTACCTATTATACATCCTAACCTATAACACAGCTTTATGAATAAAATCCAAGCCCTCGTCTAATCGTGCTTACTACAAACCCTCCTAAAGTACAAATAAATCTATTTTTACCAATCTTAGCCCAGGCAACTGTTTCAGTCTATTCTCTTCTAAAAAATAGTTAAATCCTGTCTTTTGGTTTCCAGTGGTTTAGGCTAAGGCTGTTGGGTAATGGGTCTATAATTTATACCTTTGGGCTTAAGTTTATACTAAGAATTAGAGGTGAGAGGGAGGCTGGCTGGGGCTGGAAGGTAGTGGGGCAATTTGGATGGAGTACTGGTTATATTGTGTAGAATGAGAGGATTATAAAGTATATCTGATAGAGTTGATCATTGTTTTACGCTCCGATGTATGATAACTTCATAGATTACTTCAGAGATGGTAGAAAGGAGCAGAGTCTTCACATTAGAATGCTCCAGATGCTAAAATCTGTTAATAATATTACATATTTAACCTCTTTGAACAATCCAAATTTGGTCAACCCAATAACATCAGTAAGAACTTTTGTTCCAAATATGTCAGAAATTTTAGAAAAATTATAAAATAGCGTTGACTATTTAATTTTGAGAGTTTATAAAATAGTAGCTGGGTACAAGGTATGATTAGACTTAAAATAATAATGGTAATGATTATAAGTTTGAGCACATTTTAATTAAATTTGTCATGTTTTGGAGCAAATGTTTGAAATATAACCTAATTCTTCTACTTAAACCAAAAATGCCTAAACTTCTATCGCACCCATCTACTACTGAACACAAGCTCGTGACTCAAGATTATTACCATTTCCAATCTCCTTGGTCTTAAAGAATCAAAGAGCTTGGGATCATAGTATCCTTAGCCACTCTTTCTCATTTGAAATCACTTTTTAAACCAGGCTTACTCAGAATTTGAAAAGTCTTGGTAGATATTTTTAGTACAAATCAGCTTTTTACGTTAAGAAATTTGGTAAAAGAATAAGAAACAGGGCTTCATGAGGTAAGGAAATTTGAATTAAATTCCTATTGTGGATTTTAGTGGTACTATCAGCTTCTACATTAAGTGATAAGACAAGGATTAACCTGGAAGAGTCGAGATACATTGGAGTATTGTCTGATTTTATACAAACAGAGTATAAAAAGTGTTGTTGTCTGAAATATGTTAAATTCAAATTGGTCATAAAATCTCTACTCTATCTCATCACCTGATTAAATATCATACAAAGATTCTGCTCACCACATTCATACCCACTCTATTACTCTTAGTTAGCCTGAATTTAATACTAACTATAAGCATGCAAGTCCAAATCTAGCAATCGACGACACAAGCTACACTTATCTAATTAGGTGAAAACACCGCTCCAGGATCCACTTTGAGCACAATCCCTCACAAGATTTTACTAACTTTTCAGAACTTTTCTGAAAGAAATCTCAAACAAGCTCTAATTTGCTTAAAAATACAGACCTAAACTTCATCCGCACTGACCAAAGTGCCTCCAACACCTCTTCAACGAACCAAGTTTCATCTCTAATCTAGGCTAAACTTCCTTCAAACTAAAGTTTTTACACATATCCAAAAGCCAGCTCTCTGGTCTTCCTCCCCGCTTATAACCTCTAATCACCTTTAAACCCCTCAATTCCCTCTTTAAAGCCCTTTTTAGCTTACTTCTTTACCAACCGGACCTGCTCACCAGTGGTTTTTCAAGTTCAAAGTACAAAATTTGTACTTGAAATTTTAACGAAAATAGTATAGAAAGAAGTATTAGGATTTTAAACAGATTTCGGCCTCAGAGTGAATTTTTACGTAAAAATTTAGGCGATTTCGCTGAGAAATTGGGCTTTTAGGCGATGAAAGAGGGGCAGTGGGGTGAGCATGCTCTAGAATGGAGGCAAAGGGGCTACTAATTGGGCAACGTTTGATTTGGGTTTTTGGAGGTTTGAATTTTAGAGAGATTTGATTTATTTTAATTAAGATTTTAAGAATTTTGAGTAGTAAGAAATTAGAGAAAGGATGACTTTAGGTCTTTGGTAGTGTGTTAAAGGTGGTCTAAATTGTAATGTTTTGATATCTTTTCAGTTGTCTTTCACCCCCATGGGATGGTATCTCTTGAGTTCTCTCATAAAGAAATATTTGTTTCAATTTCAAATGCCTTTAACTCAGTTCTTCTCAACTCATCCTATTTTGGAAGAAATTTATGAGATCTATTTTTCAGATTTTTCACTAATTTCAAAAGTAAAAATCCAATAAATTTCCATTTAATTCTGAAACTGGAAGGATTTTCGATGGTGTATTTCAGATAACAGATTTGAAAAGATACAATATTTAAGAACTTAACTGCACATATAATATGTCTGAATATTCTTAAAACCAAAAACACCTTAAAATTGTTTTCCCAAACTAATAATAACAAAATGTAGAAAAATTAGAAATCTGCAATAAAAATTTAGTGAAAACAAGTCCTATACTCAATTTCCATCTCTAAACCTCCAAAAAATACCCAAAACCCTCTTCAAGCCCTCTAAAATGCCAAAATCCCCATTCCATTCTTCTACACTCCCCAAACCCCAAACTTATAACCCACAGCTCTCGAATCAAAGCTAGACCACACAACCACAAACCCTCTGCTTAGGCTTGACCAAGCTCCATTCAAAAACTTCAGTTTCACTACAAATAGCCTGAATTCTTAGGTTTCTCTAGGCTCTGTTCCTAGGAACAGTCTGTTCTTCCCTCCTGAGTTACAGGTCCATAGCTGGAATTAATTTTTTTCGAGAATTTAGCTTTAATGAAGGAACAAGCTAAGATTTTCAAAGGAATTACAGCCTTGTGAGATTAATTTCAGCTGGAAATTAGATGGGGTAAAGGAGGAAGTGGGGATCTGGGGAAGGATGCTATGAATAATTTCTGAAATTTCAGCGGGGATTCATCAATCTGGGGTTTTGGGGTTTTGGGGTTTTGGGGTTTTGGGGTTTTGGGGTTTTGGGG